GGAGGAGGAGGAGGAGGAAGCACAGCCGCCAGAGCATTAATACACGAGGTAGGTCCCAGGAAGCCGAGTCTAACCTGCTGCAGCCGCACGGAAAGCGGCATCCAGGCGGATTTGACGACGCTCGTCCTTTCGACTCATGATGCCAGTGACCGCCTCCATCGGCGTGGTCTGTGAGTCCATAAGACGAATATCAGTGTGCGTAGGCTGCAGCTCAAGTTTGCGCTCCTGGGCCGAGCGCATGCCCTCCTTGTCGCCCAGGCGACGAGCCCATTCTGCTTCGTAGTCCGCGGTCGATGCTGAGGCGGGAGCAGCAGAAGCAGGCCCCTCGTTTGCAGTACTCAACATCTGGACCAGCTCGTTGGAGAAGGTGATCAGGGCTAGAATGGCCTCTTGGTGAAGACGAACCTATCAGAGCGGCAATCAGAAGGAAGAGGTTACACAGGGAGGAAGCGGAAAACTGCCACGCACTGTGCGCCTGCAGGACAGGCTTGGTCGGTTCGAACTTGGTCTGACAAAAGATGCATGCAGGAGTCTGAACGTGTTTGTTTGATATTCGTGTTTATGAAAGATGCTCTCAAGTCATTCTAAGCACTTACAGTAGGTGGGCTAACTCATAAAATATCAGCTGAAATTCCGAAATGCGTTTTCGTTTTGAAAAGATTAATTAAGTAGGATTGTAAAAATAATCATCATACGGTATAATTCTATAATAATTCGGCTACCTCAAGATGCCGGCTTTCGAAAGAACTTCTTTCCGGCTGCATGCAAAAACCATACTCTGTAAAAAACAATGGCTACTTAAGTAGCATGCACTTTTCCCATTGATTTTCCAATTTTATGCTCGAACGAAGGGTACAATTCGGTTTTCAAAAACGTTTCTAATTCCCGAATAACTCTGAACCTCGACTTGCCGTTACACTTGCATTCAGGGCTTCTAAACTACAAGCCGTATATTTTCCGCATACGGAAAACCACACATTTCTCTAAGGTATTAAGAGAAGACCATATGGGGTTTATAAAATTTAGCAGTGGATTTGACCCATACCGTTAACTTTACAAACCACATTGGTAAGTACAGAGAAATGACGTTTTATGAATGGCCATTTCACGGTATTAAAAAATCTCGCAATTAGAAACTTTTTGAAAACCGAATTATACCCTTGCTTCGAGTATAAAATTGGAAGAAGACGTAATTTTCTACTGAATGAGTGGAAGCATAAATAAGTTCATGGGATTGGGGTTAGGGTTAGGGGTTAGCGCAACTATTTCTCAACCCCTCAAAGTACAACCGCGCATTCCCAATAACTTTCCTTCTGCACACAACTACTTGACCTCGCCGCCTGTGCGTTCCCTGGCCCCACCTGTAAAAAACCCTATTAACACCGGTCCCTATAAGAGGTGACTGGGGTTTGTTTACTTCAGGTGGGGCCACCAAAGCACATCCGACCGAGATTTGAACCCATTCACGTCTGTTCATTGGGCTCAGAGCCCTATAAGCAGAGCACCGGCCCACGATCGGTCGACTAGAAATGGACAACCTGGCTGTAGCAGGAACTGATGCAAGCTGCAAGGCAGTCAACTGCTGCATATTACAGAAAACGTCCCTCGGTGGTTTCCGTTCTGCGTCTGCCTGCATCGTCCCAACTTCGTCAAAACCACCTGCTACTTGGAGAGGAGGCAACACAGCGTGAAGGGGTATCAGGCAGGCTTCTCATACACACACAGAAAAAGATAGAACACAGCACGCACTTTCAGGGTCTTGAAGTCACAGGTTAGATGATGCCGCGTATGCTCGTACTCGGTTACAAAGTTCGGCGCCACCTTGTCCACAATGAGGAGACGCATGGAGAAGAGGTTGTTGGCTCGTGTCTTCTCGCTCGTCTCTGCCAGGCAGA